TGAAGTCCAAGAAAAAAATAAGCATAATTCTAGGTGGCATCTCACAGTGGAGTCATATGGCCATGTTCCCAGCATAATTTAACAACATGTTCAAAGTATTGTCAACCAGGAATGCTCACCTGAGCCTAGGTTATGAGGGTTTTTATTGGGTATTAGTCATGTAAGCATGAATTGCCTCTATGACTAACCTCAGTTATTCAGACACCAGCCACCCAAAGCAAAAACACATTCACCATAAATCACATTGTTAACATAAACTCTCTGATTAAGTTGGTAGCATGTGGCCCACAGGCTAAGAGGTTATCTCCTGGGAGCTGGACAATGGCCAGTCCTGATGACAGGCCTTTCTCAACTATGTACAGAGTTGGGCAACCTAAATTTTCTTTTTCCAAATTGAAACGTATCTAGGTATTTTTTCTCCTAACTTCATAATGTATAAGTTTGATGTAAAATTTGCATATTACTATGTGGAATAATGCATTATATTCTACATCTGAAATCGCAGAATATTTAGAGTATTTGTATTTATATTCAATTTAGAAAAGAATCTAAATTCAAGAGAACTACATTTATTTCAAAAAAAAGACATTGGAATTAGTTTTATATGAAGGAAAGCCAAATGTTGCTGTCTGGTTAATCATTTTACTTAGCATTAACAACATACACTAGGAAGAGTATGATGTGAAATTATTATATAAGCACAAACTAGTTGTTTCTTTCACTTTTTTTTTTTTTATTGTACTTCAGGTTCTGTGGTACTTGTGCAGATCATGCAGGATTGTTGCATAGGTACCTATATGACAAGGTGGTTTGCTGCCTCCATCCCACCGCCACCTATAGCTGGTACTTCTCCCCATGTTATCCTTCTCCAACCTCCCTACCCCCCACTGTCCCTCCCGTACCCCTCGAAAAGATGATGCTCCCCTCCCTGTGTCCATGTGTTCTCATTGTTCAACACAAGCTTATGAGTGAGAACATGTGGTATTTTATTTTCTGTTCTTGTGTCAGTTTTCTGAGAATCATGGTTTCCAGATTCATCCAGGTCTCTACAAAGGACACAAACTTACCGTTTTTTATAGCTGCATAGTATTTTGTGATGTATATGTGCCACATTTTCTTCGTCCAGTCTATCATTGATATGCATTTGGGTTGGTTCCAGGTCTTTGCTATTGTAAACAGTGCCACAATGAAACTACATGTACATGTGTCTTTATAATAGAACAATTTATAATCCTTTGGGTATATACCCGGTAATGGGATTGCTGGGTCAAATGGAATTTCTATTTCTAGATCCTTGAGGAATTGCCACACTGTCTTCTACAATGGTTGAACTAATTTATGTTCCCACCAACAGTGTAAAAGTGTTCACATTTCTGCACATCCTCTCCAGCGTCTGTTGTCTACAGATTTTTTAACAATCACCATTCTAACTGGCGTGAGATGGTATCTCAATGTGATTTTGATTTGCATTTCTCTAATGACCAGTGATGATGAGCATTTTTTTGTTTGTTGCCCTCATATATCTCTGCTTTTGAAAACTGTCTGTTCATATCCTTTGCTCACTTTCTTTTTTTTTCTTTTCTTTTTTTTTTTTTTTTTTTTTTTGAGACAGAGTTTCACTCTTATTACCAAGGCTGGAGTGCAATGCCGCGATCTTGACGCACCGCAACCTCCACCTCCTGGATTCAGGCAATTCTCCGGCCTCAGCCTCCTGAGTAGCTGGGATTACAGGCACGTGCCACCATGCCCAGCTAATTTTTTTTTTTCTTTTTTTTTTGTATTTTTAGTAGAGACAGGGTTTCACCATGTTGACCAGGATGGTCTTGATCTCTTGACCTCGTGATCCATCCACCTCGGCCTCCCAAAGTGCTGGGATTACAGGCTTGAGCCACCACTCATGGCCCCCTTTGCTCACTTTCGAATGGGTTTGTTTGTTTTCTTGTAAATCTGTTTTAGTTCTTTGTAGATTCTGGATATTAGCCCTTTGTCAGATGGGTAGATTGCAAAAATTTTTTTACCATTCTGTTGGTTGTCAGTTCACTCTAATGATTGCTTCTTTTGTTGTACAGAAACTCTAAAGTTTAATCAGATCCCATTTGTCTATTTTTGCTTTTGTTACCATTGCTATTGGTGATTTAGTCATGAAGTCCTTGCCTATGCCTATGTCCTGAATGGTTTTGCCTAGGTTTACTTCTAGGGTTTTTATGGTGTTAGGTCTTATCTTTAGATCTTTAATCCATCTGGAGTTAATTTTAGTGTAAGGTGTCAGGAAGGGGTCCAGTTTCTGCTTTCTGCACATGGCTAGCCAGTTTTCCCAACATCATTTATTAAACAGGGAATCCTTTCCCCATTGCTTGTTTTTGGCAGGCTTGTCAAAGATGAGATGGTTTTAGATGTGTGGCGTTGCTTCTGAAGCCTCTCTTCTGTTCCATTGGTCTATATCTCTGTTTTGGTACCAGTACCATGCTGTTTTAGTTACTGTAGCCTTGTAGTATTGTTTGAAATCAGGTAGCATGATGCCTCCAGCTTTGTTCTTCACATCAGACTAGTAGGAGGATTCAGAAGAGTTGTGTGTGAAATTTTCTCTTATCATTTAACAGGAATACTAACATGTAAGGTGCTATTTGTGCCATTATAATAGTACATCAAAAGGAGCCTTTTTCTGAAAGTCAGTACCTGATTTCTTCTGAATAAGAAGTATAGGAAGATAGGAATAACTTTATAATATATCATTTATTGCAGTTTTTGTGTTATCTTAAAAAAGTCTGAGTTCCTCATTGTTTACTTAAAATAATATCTGACAGGAAGGACAGCGAGGGATAGGGAGGTTGGGGAGGGATAACATGGGGAGAAATGCCAGAGGTAGGTGACAGGGGAATGGATGCAGCAAACCACATTGCCATATATGTACCTATGCAACAATCCTGCATGTTCTGCCCATGTACCCTAGAACCTAAAGTGAAAAAAATAGTGAAAAACCTAAACTAAAAAAAAAACAGTACCTGATAATTCCAGTTACAGCACAGCTTTTCTATCCATCCATATTTGCTAAACACAGTTTTTACATTTTTAATATGAACCATGTTTTAGGACATAGTATTCCCTTTTAATGACACATACGGTTGCATTTAAAACTAAGGAAACAATTTAGTCCAAAATACTGAAGTATAAATGGTATGAGACAAAAAGTTTAAGCCATCCAAATTTGTCTATATTTTACTTAGTTTTAAGGTAATTATTTAATTTTTGGAATTATTTATGGCATGTAGTGTTTGTCCTAATAATATGGTATAATGGATTATTTTATAATACGAAGATTGGTAGGAGATAGAAAATAGATTAATTTTCTAGTGCTGCTGTAACAAATTACAACAAATTTAGTGGCTTAAAACAACACAAATGCATTGTCTTCCAGTGCTGAAGATTAGAAGTCTTAACAGCAACAGGACTGTATTATTTCTCTAGGCTTCAGCAGGGCTATATTCTCTCTGTAGACTCTAGGAGAGAATTTTTCCTGCCTTTTCAGCTTCTAAAGGCCATCTGCATTCCTTAACTCATGGCATTTTTCTCCATCTTCAATGCAAGCAGCATATCGTCTTCTCTTCCCTCTCTCTTTCTCTTCTCCCCCTTTTACCTTCTCCATTACCCCCACTTCTATTTTTTTTTTTTCACATTTCCTTCTCTCTGACCTTTCTGCTACCATCTTGTAAGGAAGTTCATGATTACATTTGGCTTGCCTGGATAATCCAGGATAATAACCCTATCTCAAAATTCTTAATTATCTCAGCACAGTCCCTTCTGCCATGTAAAATAACACATTCCTAGGCTCTGGGGATTAAGACATGGACATCTTTGCGATTTTCAAAAAAATTCTTTTGGTGCTTGGAAAAGTCTGTATTTTCTTTCCATGGATGCCATTGTATTTATATCTCTTATGTTGCCTATACTTTTCCATTTTCTTATGTAATCTTTTATTTTCTACTCTATCCATTTTGAACAGTATCCTTAAACTCCTGTTTACCTGACCTATGTTATTCTTTCCCTTATTCTTTATTTTCCCTTATTTCCCTTATCATTTCCCTTATGCATAGTTGGAGGCTCCAACACATCGCTTAATAAAGTAGGCAGAAAAAAACAGTAAAAATATGAATAATCTGAATACCATCAACCAGTTTGGCTTAGCATTTGCAGACCACTGATCCCAATAGAATATATGCTGTCTTCAAGTACACATGAAACATTTATCAAGATATGCCATACTCTGGACTATAGCAAATGCTACAACATTTAAAAGAATAGAAACCATAAAATGTATGTTCATAGATCATAAAAGAAAACCTCTAACTGTGTGGAAATTAAGCAACACATTTTAAATTAAACCATGAGTCACGAAGGTTTGAGGGAAATTTAAAACATTTGAAAATAAGAAGAAAAAAAGCATATGAAAATTTTATTCTTTCCCCATCTCCTATACTTTTTCTAGTTGTAGTTTTTCCTGCTTAATCAAAACATCTAAAACGTACCTACTGTTATTTCTCCTATACCTCCCACTTACTTTAGTCATAGCTTTACAAATACATACAGTACTCAACATCAATTATTAAAGTTATCTCTTGCTGGCTTCTAGAAGATTCCTCAGGAGAGGCACATATATGTATTTTCTGAATTCTTGCAGTTCAAAACTGTTTTTCTATACATTAGATATTTGAAGAACTGCTTGACTGGGTATAAAATCCTGAGGTTATAGTTGTTTATATTGAGTTCCATGAAAATATTGCTTCTTACTTGCCTCGTATGTTGTTCTTAGGAAGATTAGCTCTTAAAGTCATTTTGCTGTGGCTATTTTAGTAGCATGATAATATCTTACTATGGTGGGAGTTAGTTCTTTTCTCAAAATTAAGATGTTATTTAATATTAAGTTTCTTAAGATATGGGAAGAAACTTAACAGTGATAATTTTAAAGTAGACAACTAAAATTAATTTGTTTTATTCTTTCACAGGAATTGAAACCTGATATAGTAACTAAATCTGCTCTTGGTGATGATATCAACTTTGAAGAAATCTGCAAAAAGGTATATCTGCAATGCATTGTATTAGTTTTATGAGAAGTTTCTCATTTATATTGCTTACTTTTTTTTTTAAGAGAAAACTCACCAAGAAGTCACACTGTTGGTTTCTAATTACTTTCCCTAACTGAACTCCATTACTGCCACCAAAACAATTTTGAATACTAATATTTAAATTTTGTTTGACTGTGATATCACCCTTCAAGGTCCTTAAACGTATGTTGAACTTAATATGACATTTCATGCCTTATATAAAAATTAGTCTGTAAATCTTACTGCTTGGAACTAAGATTCTTTGTTATTTTTCCAAATTTTTTAATAAATATCTCATTAATCTGTATATTTACCCTTTGAAAGATGTTTTTTCACCCTCTTTTTACAAATGAGGAAACTGGAGCTCAAAAAGAATTAAAAGAGGTGATTCAGAACACATCATTGGGCTGGGCATGGTGGCTCATCCTGTAATCTCAGCACTTTGGGAGACCAAGGCAGGCAGATGACCTGAGGTCAGGAGTTCAAGACCAGCCTGACCAACATGGAGAAACCCCATCTCTACTATAAATACAAAATTAGCTGGGTGTGATGACGCATCCCTCTAATCCCAGCTACTCAGGAGGCTGAGGCAAGAGAATCTACTGGACCCAGAGGTCAAGGTTGCGGTGAGTTGAGATCCCGTCATTGCACTCAGGCCTGGGCAACAAGAGCAGAACTCCATCTCAAAAACAAAACAAAACAAAAAAAGGACACACCACTGTTAGGTGGCATCATCATTACATTTTTCTACATCTTTTGCTCTTTGGGTTTTCCACTCTGCTTCTTCCTTATTAATTCCCTTTTTTAATTTTTACCGACGTTGCTCCACTTCAGAACAGATTTTGTATTAATCGATTTTTCTATATTGCATTTGTTTTTTACTCACATTGATTTTTGCTCTACTCCACATTCTTTCCATCTTCTTGATTTGTGTTTTTTTCTGGTTTCTTAATGTGGAAACTTAAATTACTGGTTTAGACCTTTTCTAATAAAACATTTAATGCTAATCATTTATCTCTAAGCAATAGTTTAGCTGCATCTCATAAATTTTGATATGCTGTATTTTTTTTTCTTAGTTAAAAATGTTTTAAATTTCCGTTGAACCCTCTGTAACTCATGATTTCATTCGAAATGTGTTGCTTAATTTCCAAACAGTTAGAGGTTTTCCAGGTATGTTTTTGCTATTTTTTTTTAATTTAATTCCCTTTATGATCCATGAACGCACATTTTATGGTTTCTATTCTTTTAAATATTGTAATATTTGTTATAGTCTGGAGTATGGCATGTCTTGGTAAATATTTCATGTGCACTTGAAGACAGCATATATTTTGTTGGGATCAGTGGTCTGTTAAGTCAAATTCTTTGATGTTATTCAGATTATCCATATTTTTACTGTTTTTTTTTTTTCTGCCTACTTTATTAAGGGGTGTGTGGAACCTCCAACTATGCTTGTCAGTTTGCCTATTTGATCTTTCAGTTTTATCACTTTTTTGCCTTATGAATTTTGAAACATGTATGTTAAGTGTGTAGACTTTTAGGATTTTTTATGTTCTTGTGGAGCTGATCCTTTATCATTATGTAATGGCCCTTCTTAACCCTGGTAGTATTTACCATGCTAAAGCCTATCTTGTCTGAAATTTATATCACTGCTTTTGCTTTCTTTTGGTTGGTGTTCGCATGCAATATCTTTCCCCATCATTTTGCTTTTAACCTGCATATGTCTGTGTACTTAAGGTGATTTTTTAAAATCAATAGCATTTACTTGGATCTTGCTTTTTATCCAATCTGATAATCTCTCTTTTAAGTGGTATGTTTAGGCCATTTCTCTCAATGTGATTATTGATGTGGCTGGTTTAAAATCTACCAGTTTGTTAGCTGTTTTCCATTTGCTTCATACTCTTTTTGCTTTGTTTTCCTTCCTTTTTTTTCTCCTCTGAGTTAATGAGCTTTATCTCTTCTGTTGAGCTACTTATTACATGTTCATATTTTATTATTGTTTTTTACTGTTCACTCTACAATTTATAATATATACCTTTAATTAACCAAAATCTGCTTTCACATAATTTTATGCTGCTTCATATGCAGTGTAATGATCTAAGGACAGTAAATGCCGATTACTTTATGGCTTCTATTGTGCCATTGTTGTGACACATTTTACGTTTACAAATGCTATAAGCAAATAATAGGTTTTCCCATTTTTGCTTTGAACATTTGAACATTTAGATCAGTTTAGAAATAAGCATAAGAATAAATCATTTTTTTACTTTTATTTATTTAGTTTTGATTGATCTTTCTTTGTTTAAATCCAAGTTTCCTACTGGTGTATTTGTTTCATCTGAGGGCTTTTAAAATATCTTGAAGAGTTGGTCTGCTGGCAGTAAATTTCTACCTTTTTTTTTTTTTTTTTTGGCAAGAAAGTTTATCTTTCTCCTTTATTTTAAAAATTATTTTTCTTAAATATAGAATTCTATGTGGACAGTTCTTCTCTTTCTGCACTTTGTCATCTACCTTCTATGATTTTGTAAAAGACTGCTATAATTCTTTGGTCTTCTGTGTGCAATGCCGTACCTCATCCCACTCCAAACTGACTATAAGATGTTCACTCTGACAGGTTTGTCCATCCTTTTTGTTTTTTGCTCTTTGTGGTTCTCTAACTCTCCAGATAGGAACCAGAAATTCACGTTTCAACATCTGAATTTTAGAAAAAAAGAAACCAGAAATCTAAATTTTGCATTAATTTTTATAATAAACTGTAAGACTACCAAATGTTGGGTTATCCAGAGTGTAACCTTGACCTGTATGTTCCCAGGGGATACATTATCACTCTTTCTCTCTTCAGGGGACTTAGAAATTTGGCATACACTGACTCTGGATGTCATGTTTTTAGTCAATAAAATACTTCAGTAAAATCACCATTAAAGGTCCCTCCTCAAGCTCTTAAGTTTTCCTCTTATTTCTAAACCTTCATAAAGTTTTGCTTTTGAGAATCACTATTCTCAAAACATGATGGGAGAATTCAAAGGTAATAAATCAGAGCATATTTTAAAATATATTATGATTATTATATAGAAGTTTCTAATCATAGCTACTCAAGTAAAATGAATAAAAATTTGTATAAGTTAAGATCTCTCAAATTGTTAGAAATCTCGCTAAAACAGGTTGGCATCTAAATACTCATTCAGTATTGTGAAAATCAGCATGCTAGATGATTTAGGGCAATGATTTCCAAAATTTTTATTTCTCTCAGAACCTTCTGTTAAAAATTTAACATACTTTTTAACAAGGGGAATTTCATTCACTAGGTGTTAATGCTTTAAAAAATATGTGAAAGACACAGTAATTTTTATTTTATCCCTACTTTTATTTTTAATTTTTGTTGGTACATAGTTTATATATATTTATGGAGTGCATGAGATATTGAGATATTTTGATATAGGCATGTAATGTATAATAATCACATAATGGAGAATGGGGTACCCATTCCCTCAAGCATTTATCCTTTGTACTATAAACAATCTAATTATACTTATCCCTACATTTATAAGTATACCTTTTAAAAATATAAGCTGATTTTGCTTATGACATGTCAATTGGTTGCTATATATTTTCTCAATCTATCTCAGAATAAACTATTTCACTTCTAAAAAAAAAATTTTGCTCCACAGTAAGTGTTGTATATTAAACAAATAAAAACAACTAGTGTGGAGACTAGGGATGACAATTAAGAAGCCAAGTCATCCTTTGGTATCTTAAAGCATTGCTAAAGACAGTACAAGAAAAGGTAAGAGATAATCTTACCCACAGAGTTTATTTCTAAAAGAGAGTTTATACTTGTAACTAACTATAAAGTGTGTCTAAGAAAAAGATTTGAAAATACTCATTCTCATATTGCATATTTATTTGTCCTTAAAATTGAATTATTTATTAAATACAATATATATTCAGTGCTTATAATTTTCTTTTTTTTTTGAGACGGAGTTTCGCTCTTGTTACCCAGGCTGGAGTGCAATGGCGCGATCTCGGCTCATCATAACCTCTGCCTCCTGGGTTCAGGCAATTCTCCTGCCTCAGCCTCCTGAGTAGCTGGGATTACAGGCACGCACCACCATGCCCAGCTAATTTTTTGTATTTTTAGTAGAGACGGGGTTTCACCATGTTGATCAGGATGGTCTCGATCTCTTGACCTCATGATCCACCCATCTCGGCCTCCCAGAGTGCTGGGATTACAGGCGTGAGCCACCGCGCCCGGCCAATTTTCACTAAAGTATGCCAGATACCGTCACATTTAATTTTTAATATTTGCAACTCTAGTGGAGGAGTTTTGATTGGGAGAGAATTACATCCCCATTGTATAATGTAGAAAACTAGAGCTCAGGGAGATTAGCTTGTCCAGTCCGCAAGGTAACTGAGCAAGAATGTAAATCCATGTCTTCCAAAGGTTTCATTAACAGAGGAAGCTTTTGATCCGGCCAGATTTCATTCTTACTCATTCTTCTGTATAATATGATTTTTCATCATTAATTATGACAAATACTGGATTTTGCTGTTTGCTTTTCCTCGGGATTACTATGAAATCCATGTAATGAGCTCACTCTTTTTGAATTTTTAAATATAGTATAACTTCAAAAACTAAATTTTTACCAATGACTTTTATTTGAAGTCCTGATTAGATTTAGATATAGGATTTATATTGTGAAAGGATATTTGGAACAGATACTGCATAGTTTTTACTTTTCTTTCTCTCCATCATATCTAAGGGACACTCATCAGTCCACTGGCATCATCATTAGTACTTCATGGTAGTAATTATTAATTTTACTCATAGAGATATGAGAAGTTGTTGAATATTAGTGTCTCAAAGTGTTGAGAGTATTATTCAGGGAAAATTTAAAGATTAAAAAGTTCTTTGAACTGGATGATGTTAAGTTTTTTCCCCAGCCTTAAAAAAAAAAAAAAAAAAAAAAAAGCACTCT